CCTTTCCTTTCCTTTCCTTTCCTTTCCTTTCCTTTCCTTTCCTTTCCCTTCCTGCTGGTTGCCTTAATAAGTGGAATAATGTGAGGAAGGAAATTTATTCCAGGAGAAAACTACAGCCCATATTGTAACGTATCCTCTACAGAAATAAATGTAGCTACTAGATTAGAATAAACACAGAGAGATCAACGAATAAAGGTTTTTTTTTGGGTGGTGGGTAAAGAAAATCAAATACATCGAAAAGGCGAGAAGAAATTGTTGCAGCAAACTGGCAGCCTGAAATGCGCGACAGGGAATGAAACCACTTCTGAGATATTCACTAATTGCTAGATCAAAGAGCTGTTAACCAGAAAGTCATTCAGCAAGAGACTGACACACAACCCCGATAAAGCATGTAACTTTCCAAATTAATTCTCAATTCCCATACATTAGGCAGACTCCTGACGCATGCAATTAAATTCCGAGTCCTGCGTTAAATTTGAAAAGAAAACTCTTTTTAAAACCCTTCCTCGAACTCTGTCAGAATCACTCAGATACCCACTTATTCGAGATTGAGGGTGGTGGGGCTGGAAGGAGGGACCCAAAGCAAAAGGGATTACCCCCCCCCCCCCAAAAAAAAAGTGGATTAAAGCTAAAGAGATTACATAAACAAAACAAAAAAAAAATCTGAATGCTAAATGAAGCTGTCAGGACAGGGAAAGTGTTAATCCTGAAGGACATCCCCAAAGAATGGATGAGACCCCAGCGAGAATTATGAGATGGAAGTTAAATTATATGGAAGCAACTATTGCATAGATGAATTTATTTTGCTAATCCCCTGAACGGGAAAACCGATCTTGGTTTTGCGGCCAGTCGCAGAATTCTGACAGCCAGAGGATGACATCTGGGAGAAAGGACCTAGGGACAAAAAAATTGTGTTGGGGCTTAACGTATCTCTTTCCCACCGATTAAAAGCAAAAGCAAATCTATCTCTCTTTCAAATTCAAAATGGAGTTAGCGCGAGATCTTGTGACACCTTTTAATTTAATTTTTTCAAAATCTTGCACCGGATGGGAATTTGTTTTCCTTCAATTGACTCCCTAGGTCGGACAAGTGGTTTCCAAACTTGGCAACTTTAAGACTTGTGGACTTCCACTCCCAGAATTCCTTGCCAAGTTTGTCTGAGGAATTCTGGGAGTTGAAGTCCACCAGTCTTAAAGTTACCAGATTGTTGTCTGAGGAATTCTGGGAGTTGAAGTCCGCCAGTCTTTAAATTGCCAGGTTTGTCTGAGGAATTCTGGGAGTTGAAGTCTGCCAGTCTTTAAATTGCCAGGTTTGTCTGAGGAATTCTGGGAATTGAAGTCTGCCAGTCTTTAAATTGCCAGGTTTGTCTGAGGAATTCTGGGAGTTGAAGTCCGCCAGTCTTTAAATTGCCAGGTTGATGGCTGAGGAATTCTAGGAGTTGAAGTCTGCCAGCCTTATCGAACCACTACAATTGCTAAGTGTACAGTGAATCTGTCTTCCCCACTGACTTTGCTTGTCAGAAGGTTGCAAAAGGGAATCACATGACCCCAAGGGACACTGCAACCGTCATAAATACGAATCCATTGGCAAACATCTGCCTTTGGATCACGTCACCATAAGCATGTTGCAAAGATCGTAAGTATGAAAAACAGTTATACGTCCATTTTTGCAGTGCCATTCTAACTTTAGTCAACCAACCGAGCTGTTGTAAGTCAAGGACTGCCTGTGTTGAATGGTCATTAAATGAACTGCGGCAAGTTGAAAACTCCCTGCACTGCTTTTTAGCCTCGCCTGTAAGTGCTGCAGATTTCCTTGAGGCCTAAAGTTCACCCCCACCCACCCAATAAGCCCTACCACAATTTATATGAGTGATATATTAGACAGCTATCTCTCTCCACCCTCTTTACCTACCTAACATAATTAGACAGGTAGATATACAGGAGAGAGTGTGAATCACGTTCTTATTATTATCCACGCTGGATTTGCATAGAATGCCTCCAGCACCTGCTTTTCAAAAATCTCAGTGGCATCACCGCAAGCTACAAAAAAAGAAATCCCATCTTTCATAGAAGTGTTTATTTTAAATCTCAGGATGCATAATCAACTCTGCTTTTTACGTAAGCTCTTGGTGAGAGAAGTTTGGCAGTAACAGAGTAACAGAGTGGGAAGGGACCTTGGAGGTCTTCTAGTCCAACCCTTTGCTCAGGCAAGAAACCCTGTACCATTTCAGACAAATTCTTGTCCATAGACAAGAATAGAGTAGAGTGGAGTGGAGTGGAGTGGAGTGGAATGGATAGGAATAGGAATAGGAATAGGAATAGGAATAGGAATAGGAATAGAATGGAATGGAATAGAATAGAATAGAATAGAATAGAATAGAATAGAATAGAATAGA